ACGGACAAAACACTGCTTTAAAGTCCATATTGGAAACCAAAAAAGAGCCGCATTCTCACACACATCCTAAGTCAAAAGACAAAGCTGGAGGCATCACGCTACCTGACTGTCAAACTATACTACAAGGGCTACAGTAACCAAAACAGCATGGTACTGGTACCCGAAACAGAGAATATAGACCAAATGAAGCAGAACAGGAGTCCTCAGAAATAATACCACACATCTACAACAGCCATCTGATTCTTTGACAAACCTGGAGAAAAACAAGATGGGGGAAAGGATTCCCTATTTAATAAATGGTGCTGGGAAAATTGGCTTAGCCATTAGTAGAAGCTGAAACTGGATCCTTTCCTTACTCCTTATACGAAAATTAAATTCAAGATGGATTAGAGACTTAAATGTTAGACCTAATACCATAAAAACCCTAGAAGAAAACCTAGGTAATACCATTCAGGACATAGCCATGGGCAAGGACTTCATGTCTAAAAACACCAAAAGGTAATGACAACAAAAGCCAAAATTGACAATGGGATCTAATTAAACTAAAGAGCTTCTGCACAGCAAAAGAAAACTACCATCAGAGTGAACAGGCAAGCCTACAGAATGGGAGAAAATTTTTGCAATCTACTCATCTGACAAAAGGGCTAATATCCAGAACCTACAAAGAACTCAAACAAATTTACAGCACGAAAGACAACCCCATCAAAAAGTGAACAAAGGAAGTATGAACACAACATTTCTCAAAAGAAGACATTCATACAGCCAACAGACACATGAAAAAATGCTCATCATCACTGGCCAAGCAGAGAATGCAAATCAAAACCCACAATGAAATACCATCTCACACCAGTTAGAACTGGCAATATTCTAAAAAGTCAGGAAACAACAGGTGCTGGAGAGGATGTGGAGAAATAGGAAACACTTTTACACTGTTGGGTGGGATTGTAAACTAGTTCAAACCATTTTATGGAAACAGTATGGCGATTCCTCAAGGATCTAGAACTAAAAGTACATATGACCAGCCATCCATTTACTGGGGATATACCCAAAGGATTATAAATTATGCTGCTATAAAGACACGATGCGCATGGTATATTTATTGCGGCACTATTCACAATAGCAAAGACTTGGAATCAACCCAAATGTCCATCAGTGACAGACTGGATTAAGAAAATGCTGGCACATATACACCATGGAAATATATATGCAGCCATAAAAAAGGATGAGTTTGTGTCCTTTGTAGGGACATGGATGCAGCTGAAACCATCATTCTCAGCAAAACTATCGCAAGAACAGAAAACAAACACCCGCATTGTTTTCACTCATAGGTGGGAACTGAAACATGAGAATCCAATGAGATCACTTGTACTCGGGAAAGGGGGAACATCACACACCGGGCCTATCATGGGGAGGGGGGAGGGGGAAAGGGGTTGCATTGGAAGTTATACCTGATTACAACCCTGATGTAAATGACGAGTTGATGGGTGCTGACGAGTTGACAGGTGCAGCACACCAACATGGCACAAGTATACATATGTAACAAACCTGCATGTTATGCACATGTACCCTAGAACTTAAAGTATAATAATAATAAAAAAAATAAAAAATAAAAAATAAATGAAAAAAAAAAAAAGCTGAGACTAGACTCCAAGGACCCTAACCTAGACCTCAGTGCTCCATTCCCTACACTACACTACCAATAATTCTTTCCTTGTTTTGCTGCAACAAATAAGAAGTAAAAGAGACACCTTAATTAGGGGCTTGGAATTCAGATGAGCTTCCTTGGCCAGAATTGGACAGGCATCTTTAACAAGACTGTTGAGGAGCCTTGGAGATACTTGACTGCTTTTTGGAAAAATGGATCTTTCTGATGGCTACCTCAGCCCACTCCTGTGGTGATAGGATTTCTCTTTAGCTGATGGTTGCTGAAGGATGCAGTAAGAGGACCCAGATGGAGACATTCTTCTAAGCCTTGACTGGTACAAAGCAGAGTCTGGTGTAGTGAAAAGTGTAGACTTTGAAGACCGACCTCATCGGGAATCTCAGCTCTCCAGTCTCAAGCCATTGTGTGACCTTCAGCTTGTTCCTTAACCATTAACAAGAAGAGAAAAAGAGGCATGGCAGACATTGCTATCAGCCCTCATTATTTATACTCCTCTTTTTCTTTAAAAATAGAACTCTATTTTAGCTGGACATATGACTACCCAGATTCAAGATGACATTTTTCAGCCTTCATTTCTACTAAGTGTGGCCACGTGACTAAATCCTGGAGAATGGGATGTAAGTGGCAGTGTTGTGGGATGATTCTGGGAACCTTCTTTAAGAAAGTGCTTGCAGGTATCCTTTGCTCTCTTCTTCATCCCTTCCTCTATCTTGCCTCCTGGAAACCAAATGCCACTATCAAGGACTATGAGGCAAAGACAAACATGTCAGAACCACCAGGTAGAAAGAGTCTAGGTGTCCAACATTGTGGAGTGCTATATCACTCTAGACCACATCCCTAGACATTTATATGAGACAGAAATACAGTTCAGTCTTGTTGGAGTTATTATTTTGAAATTGTTGGCACTCACAGCCTAGCAGAAACCAAGAAGGAAAGCTACTAAATTTATTTTGTGATGATAATATAATCTTGATACCAAAAACAGATAGAACAATACAAGCAAAGACAATTATAGGACAATATTCTTTATATATGTAGATGCTCAAATCCTAAATAAAATATCACCAACCATAGACCAGCAATGTATAAAATAAACATCATCTCCTAGTAGAGTTAGCAGTGAATGTACCGGAATGTAATGATAGCCAAACTTACAAAGTTCATAAATGTAGCTTATTACATTAGCAGAATAAAAGATAAAAGTTCTACAATGTCAGTAGACACAGAAAAACTATCCATTAACATTCAATACCCTCTCAGGTTAAAAACAAAAATTTCATTAATCTAGGACTAGAAGAGAACCTCACTTTACCTTGGTAAAAGATACAGCAACCATCATTCTTTTTTCATTTTATTTCTTTTAAGTTCTGGAGTACATGTGCAGGATGTGCAGGTTTATTACATAGGCAAATGTGTGCCATGGTGGTTTGCTGTACCTGTCAACCTATCGCCTGGGTATTAAGCCTAGCATGCACGAGCTCTTTTCCCTAATGCTCTCCACTCCCCCCACCCTTTCCGGACAGGCCCCAGTGTTGTTCTCCACCCTGTGTCCAGTGTTCCCGTTTTTCAGCTCACACTTATAAGTGGGAACATGGGGTGTTTGGTTTTCTGTTCCTGCAAAACGTAATTCATCACATAAACAGAACTAAAGACAAAAAGCACATGATTATCTCAATAGACACAGAAAAGGCCTTCGATAAAATTCAACATCCCTTCATGTTAAGAACTAAATAAACTAGGTGTTGAAGGAACATACCTCAAAATAATAAGAGCCATTTATGACAAACCTACAGACAATGTTATACGGAATAGGCAAAAGCTGAAAGCATTCCCCTTGAAAACTGGCACAAGACAAGGATGCCCTCTCTCACCACTCTTATTCAACGTAGTATTGGAAGTTCTGGCCAGGGCAATCAGGCAAGAAAAAGAAGTAAAGCATATTCAAATAGGAAGAGAGGACGCAACCATCATTCTTTAATGGGGAAAATTTAGAAGCATTCCTAGTGTGGGTTTGGAAAACAGGGCCTTTAGCTTTCATTCAGTGATCGAATGGGTTGGCAACTTAAGGACTGAGAGCACATCTCTGAGGATACCTTGTCACCATAGTTGAAGATGATTATGTGAGTTGTCCTATTCCCTCCCCTCCCCTCCCCTCCCCATCCTTTTCAAAATGTATGCACTTATTTTTCTTGTCTGATCCATTAGCTAGGACCTCCAGTGCAAACTTAAAGAGTAGTGGTGATAGTGGACATCCTTGTTTTAAATGAAAATACTTTTAATATTTTCTCTATATGAATGATGTTTACTCTAAGAGGTTTTTTGGTACCCTTTTCCAAGCTAAAGATATTTCTTCCCACTCCTTTTTTACTAAACTTTTATCAATGGTTTGTGTTGAATTTCATCAAATGCTTTTTATTTATCTGTTGGTGATCATATGATTTTTTCTCCATTAATTTGTTAATACAGTGAATAATACTTATAGATTTGTCTAACATTAGACTTTTTTGCACTCCTGAGCATAAACCCAACATGGTCATGATACATTTTCTTTCTTAGGTCCTTTGAGTATGTTGTCTAGTGTTTTAGTATTTTTCATCTGTTTTCAAGTAGTAGAAAGTAGTGGCGCTTTTCCCAGATCATCATAGAATCCCATGCGTGTGTGTGTGTGTATGTGTGCATGCACATGTGTGTGTGTGCATGTATACCCACTTGCCCACAGGCATCTGTCCCTTTCACAGATATCAGAACCAAGGACCTCTGGACCTCCTTTTGCCTGGAATGGGCCCAGCATCTGTCACCCTGATTCTTGTGCCCAAACTCCTCCCTCTTACATGTTTTGAAGAGACTGTAGGGTTGGCCCCGGATCCTACAGCTACAGACACTCACCTTTGTGCTGTCCGTCCTCCAGGTGCCCTTCTCCAACTGCAGCCGAGACTGTCTGGCAGGGACCAGGAAAGGGATCATTGAAGGGGAGCCCACCTGCTGTTTTGAGTGTGTAGAGTGTCCTGATGGGGAGTACAGCGATGAGACAGGTAAGGGAACCCCTCTTGGGTACTGTGCAGGGCTTGGTCCACTTCGGAGGCCTGGGGTCAGTGAAGCCCATGGAAGCGCTGGGTTGAGATGGTGCTTTGCACAGTTTCTCATTTAACAAGGGTATGTCTGAGCATCACAAAATGTTGGTCATGGAGGTGGAACAGAAAAAGAAAGTTAAATGTTATTTTAATACCATGAAAGCTAACAACACCTATTACACATCTTTCTCTTACTTTATACTGCTGGCCAATATATTTCCTTTTTGTTAGAGTTTAGTGGCCCTGAATGGACAAAGTTCTGTCTGCTCCAGACTCCAGAGTTAATAGGCCATGATAGAATTGCCTGCTGGGTGCCTGGCACTGAATTTGCTATCTTACTTGTGTTTTTCCTGTTTCTCAGGTTACTTTTAGGTGGGAAAAATAATTAAACCTATCCTATAGAGTTTTGAGAATTAAACGATTAATATTGGTAATGCACATGGTAAGCTCTAGATAAATATTTGTTAAACAAAACTTTGGCATTTTAGAAGTACTCTATAAATATTAACTATAGTTGATATTATTATCTCATGTTATCCTCACCCCAATAATGGCATTATTGCTGCTCCCATTTTACAAATTAGGAAACTAAGGCTCTGAGAGGTTAAGAAACTTGACCAAAGTCACATCACCAGTAAGTAGTACGGCCAGGATTCCATCCAGATCTCTAACTCCAAACACCCTGCTCCTTTCACTGCCCAAAACTGCACACTGCCTGGGAGTTAGCAGAGACTTAGTAAACAGTTGTCAATTGAATGAGTCTGCAGCCTCCCTCATCGAAAAGCTATGGATATGGAGTGAGGAAAGCATAGGTTATGTGCGTGGGATACTCTGCCTTGATCTAAAGGAAGTCTGCTCTGGTGTGTCTACAAAGCCCATCCATATATCCAAAATAAATCAGTCTCCATATGAGATGTCAGATATGTTCATTTGCTTCACTAGAATAGCCAGTTTACTGCCCATATGTATCCCACAACATCATGTTGTAAACCTCAAATATTATCCAATAATATTTAAATAAATAAATCAGGCTAAGCTTGAATCATTCTGTGAAGCATTGATGGACCATGCTAGACCTCTGGTGTGCAGGGCAGCCACCTGTCCAGCAAGGTTGATCATTTCCTGCTATAAACCATCAGCAGGTAGTTTTAAATGAAGCATGGGCCCCACCCATGTCATGTGCAAAGGGAAAACAAACTAACAATAGAACCATCAGAGTTACATGAAATTAACCATGTTATTAAACATGTTGGGGTTCAGCATATTTTTGATAATGTAAAAATCAGAATGTTTTCATCAAAATGAAGAAAATATGTAGTGACCACATTCAAAAAACTATGTATTCCCACCACCACATGTACACTCACACATTTTAGTCTGTGCCACACAATAACTCACTCTTCACTGGGACATTTTACAGATGCCAGTGCCTGTAACAAGTGCCCAGATGACTTCTGGTCCAATGAGAACCACACCTCCTGCATTGCCAAGGAGATCGAGTTTCTGTCCTGGACAGAGCCCTTTGGGATTGCACTCACCCTCTTTGCCGTGCTGGGCATTTTCCTGACAGCCTTTGTGCTGGGTGTGTTTATCAAGTTCCGCAACACGCCCATCGTCAAGGCCACCAACCGAGAGCTCTCCTACCTTCTCCTCTTCTCCCTGCTCTGCTGCTTCTCCAGCTCCCTGTTCTTCATTGGGGAGCCCCAGGACTGGACTTGCCGCCTGCGCCAACCGGCCTTTGGCATCAGCTTCGTGCTCTGCATCTCGTGCATCCTGGTGAAAACCAACCGTGTCCTCCTGGTGTTTGAGGCCAAGATCCCCACCAGCTTCCACCGCAAGTGGTGGGGGCTCAACCTGCAGTTTCTGCTGGTTTTCCTCTGCACCTTCATGCAGATTGTCATCTGTGTGATCTGGCTCTACACCGCGCCCCCCTCAAGCTACCGCAACCACGAGCTGGAGGATGAGATCATCTTCATCACGTGCCACGAGGGCTCACTCATGGCCCTGGGCTTCCTGATCGGCTACACCTGCCTGCTGGCTGCCATCTGCTTCTTCTTTGCCTTCAAGTCCCGGAAGCTGCCAGAGAACTTCAATGAAGCCAAGTTCATCACCTTCAGCATGCTCATCTTCTTCATTGTCTGGATCTCCTTCATTCCAGCCTATGCCAGCACCTACGGCAAGTTTGTCTCTGCCGTGGAGGTGATTGCCATCCTGGCAGCCAGCTTTGGCTTGCTGGCGTGCATCTTCTTCAACAAGATCTACATCATTCTCTTCAAGCCATCCCGCAACACCATCGAGGAGGTGCGTTGCAGCACCGCAGCTCACGCTTTCAAGGTGGCTGCCCGGGCCACGCTGCGCCGCAGCAACGTCTCCCGCAAGCGGTCCAGCAGCCTTGGGGGCTCCACTGGATCCACCCCCTCCTCCTCCATCAGCAGCAAGAGCAACAGCGAAGACCCATTCCCACAGCCCGAGAGGCAGAAGCAGCAGCAGCCGCTGGCCCTAACCCAACAAGAGCAGCAGCAGCAGCCCCTGACCCTCCCACAGCAGCAACAATCGCAGCAGCAGCCAAGATGCAAGCAGAAGGTCATCTTCGGCAGCGGCACGGTCACCTTCTCACTGAGCTTCGATGAGCCTCAGAAGAACGCCATGGCCCACAGGAATTCTACACACCAGAACTCCCTGGAGGCCCAGAAAAGCAGTGATACGCTGGCCCGACACCAGGCATTACTCCCGCTGCAGTGCGGGGAAGCGGACTCAGATCTGAGCGTCCAGGAAACAGGTCTGCAAGGACCAGTGGGTGGAGACCACCGGCCAGAGGTGGAGGTCCCTGAAGAGTTGTCCCCAGCACTTGTAGTGTCCAGTTCACAGAGCTTTGTCATCAGCGGTGGAGGAAGCACTGTTACAGAAAACGTACTGCATTCATAAAATGGAGAAGACTGGTCTAGGGAGAATGCAGAGAGGTTTCTTGGGGTCCCAGGGATGAGGAATTGCCCCAGACCCCTTTCTTCTGAGGAAGAAGGGATAATAGACACATCAGATGCCCCAAATTTAGTCACACCATTTTAAATGACAGTGAATTGACCAATGTTCTCTTTAAAATTAAAGAAAGAAGAACCTTGTGTTTCTGTGGTTGCATTTCAAATCATTGAGATCTCCAGGGTCAGATTTGCTGTTTGCCCACATCTAATGTCTCTTCCTCCGTTCTGTCCTACCCAACAGCTCAGAGATGAAACTACGGCTTTAAACTACCCTCCAGAGTGTGCAGACTGATGGGACATCAAATTTCTGCCACCACCAGAGCTGAGAATCTGAAAGACAGAATGACACGTCCTGCCCAATGCCTTGACAACTGACTGAACTTTAAATGTTCACAACATAAGGAGAATGTATCTCCTCCTATTTATGAAAACCATATGATATTTGCTCTCCTACCTGCTGCTGCTATTGTGTAACATCTGGAAGGTTTGCACCCCTCCTATACCATATGTCTGGTTCTGTCCAGGCCATGACAGTGATGCCATGTTTAGATTCCAGGATCACAAGAATCACCTCAAATTGTTAGGAAGGGACTGCATAAACCAATGAGCTGTATCTGTAATTAATATTCCTGTATGTAGTTTTATCCTTAGGAAAATGCTTCTGTTGTAATAGTCCATGGACAATATAAACTGGAAAATGTCAGTCTGGTTTCTATAAGGCAGTATTATTGAGCTCTATTTCCCCACCCCACCATCCTCACTCCCATAAGCTGAGCCTTATGTGAGCCCCTTCAGGGACTCAAGGGTCCAGAAGTCCCTCCCATCCCTACCCCAAAGAATTCATGAAGCCAGATTCACCCTGTCCCTGTGCAGAGTAAGCTCCCAACTATTGGCCTGCTAATAGCTGCAAGGGTAGGAAAGCATGGTTCCAAGAAAGATCCACCCTCAAATGTCAGAGCTATGTTCCCTCCAGCAGTGGCGTTAATACTGCTGGTCACCCAGGCTCTGGAGCCAGAGAGACAGACAAGGGTTAAAGCTCTGTCTTGGTTATTTGCAAGCTGGGTGACTGTAGGCAGGGAACCTTAACCTCTCTAAGCCCCAGCTTCTTCGTCTCTAAAATGAGGACAGTAATCATTCTTTCCCCTCAGAGCTCTGATGTGGATTAAATGAGATAATGTATGTAAAGTACTTTAGCCTGGTGCCTAGCACACAATAAGCATTCAATAAATATTAGTTAATATTATTATTACTGATACTATAATAATTATTTTCCCTTCAAATACAAAACGAAACATACCTATTAACCATTCAGATTGTACCAGCTAGCCCACTGATCACAATCACTCTCTCTACAATAAGCCCAAGAGCTCTGGGGCCCAACACATGGGGTCAGCCCTAGTAATACTGGCTCATGGTGAGGAAGCCAGAAAGCTGGTCAGCCCCTCAGGCGGCCTGATGCCCTGTCTCTGCAGTGTCAGGGCCTGGACCTCCAGCATCCAGGGAAGACCATCACCTGTCTAGGAGGAAGTTCTCAGATCACTCTCAATGCTACTCTTAAGCTGAAGTCAAACCATTGCAATTAAATCACCTGAAGCCTCAAATCGTACAGCTCTTGGTGACTTCTTCCCCTAACCACTTCCTTCCAAAGGGGCTCCTTTTAGTGATTTGTAGGGCAAATTAGTTGACTTGATATTTGTTAAGATTATGATGAGAAACCATTAGAGGGCACCATGTGGGAGCACAACTGTGAGCAGAAGGTGGTGACTCAGGACGACCCGAGTGAGGTACCTGCTCCCTACCCAGGAAAGGCACCGCCCCCCACCCAGCCTGCGCTCCCCCTGCAGTCATGCCTCTCACAGAGCTGAGTGGGGTTTTATATTTAACATTTTACTTGGTCTTAAAAAAAATGCTGAAAATATGATGGTTTCAGAATAGCTATGAAGGAACAGCCTCAACAGAATGTCACATACTTCTCCCTCCGGGGTTTGACTTCAATGTCCACCTCACTTAAGGAGCTTAAGGAGGAAAACATAGGTTTACAGTGAGCTTTCATTTCACCAAGTGCTTGTAAATAAAGGAGTCTCTCCCAATAGTATTGTCAAAAAGGCAGATACAGCAACACTGTGCCCATTTATACGCAGCAGGTGCAACTCAGCCAAAATCAGGGGTGTGAGGTGTGAAATATGAACTTTCATTATTTTTCTAAAACAACTTAATTTCTATCTCAAATTCCCATCCAGCCTAGTGACAGAAACTTCATCTTAGTCAAATCGGAGTTTTCACAGTAACTTCAGTGTTTTCTGAGTCAATTTAGATGTTTGGGGATCAATTCGGAGGTTGTTCCTTCTCCCTTCCAGGAGGGTTTTTGTAATGTTGGGTGGGCCTCCTCAGTCATCGGCAGCTCCCTCATGACATTGCTGAGAGCAATCTTATGTGGCCTTCGCTGGCGTGCTCTGAGGCATCGTATCCTCATCTGGTCCCATCACGGGATTCGTGGTGGTTTTCACGCATGCCTCACTGTCCTAACCAGTCGGTCCCTGTGGGGCCTGCCAGCTCTTGCAGCTACCTCCATGCTCATCCCTGGGGCCCAGAAATCACTGGCAGCCTCACTTCCGCATCTACTTGACTGCTGTCTCCCCATGACAGTAGACAGAGCTTATGGAGGCTAGGGTACCAGAGAAGAAACAGGGTACATGTCTCCAAACCTGAATAGATTTCGTAGTGGGCAGAATAATGGTCACCCGAAGATGCCCACGTCCTAATCTCTAGAACCTACGACTGTGTTGTTACATAGCAAGGGTGAATTAAAGTACAGTGGAATTAAGATTGCTAGTCAGCTGACCTTGAGATAGGAAGAGGGTCCCAAATTGTCCAGGTGGGCCCAGTGGAATCCCAAGGGCCCTTAAATGTGGATGAAGCAGAAGAGTCAGTGTGCGAGCGATACAGTATGAGAAAAACACCACCGGCCAGTGCTGCCTTTGCGTAGGGAAGTGGGCATGAGCTGAGGAAAGCAGGCTGCTTCTAGAAGCTGGCAAATGCCAGAAAACCGATTCTCCCCTAAAACGTCCAGAAAGGAATGCAGCCCTGCCAACACCTTGATTTTAGCCCAGTGACACCCTTGTAGGACTTTTGACCTCCAGATCTGTAAGATAATACATTTGTGTTGTTTTAAGCCATGAAGTTTGCAGTAATTTGTTTCAGCAGCAACAGAAAACAAATACATTTGTATCGTCTTCTCCTTCCCTGAGTTTTAGCAGCCAAGGATCTATTCCTGTTTTCACTGTGGTCCTCTTCCCTCCACCTAGCTCACTCGTTCTCCTCTAATATTCTATTCCTCCACATCTGCTTGGGAAAGTATAAACCTCATATTCTAAGTCTTTCCTGGCTTTGGCTATAGAAAATACATAGCCATGTTGTCTCATTCTATTATCTGTAAGTAGCAGAAACCGGAAAATGGTAGCTTCAACAAACTAGTGTTTGCTTTTCTCTTGAATAAGGGAAGTCAGGAGGTAAATATATGCTCACCTTTTAATTACTTTTAAAAATATTTCTTAGCTTTTGTTAACAGTGGGAAACTGATTACATTTCTTTTGAAAATTAAAATGAATTATAAAAAGATTTTCACTCAAATGAAAGTGTCCTAGAAGATTTTAAGAATCAAGGTTGGAACTTTAGAGGTGACGATCAACATATAACATCAATACCCTGAAAGTCCCTATGATCGTCACACATTGTCTAATTGCATTAATTTTGATTTGGGGGAAGTTGGGGCTACCCTACCTCTGTCTCCAGAAGTCACATTTCAAGGCAATGTTGTCTGTCGTTTTTTTCTGGTTGAAATCACATAGCTATGGGCTGGCTCTGCCCAGCCGGAGCTTCCCTCTTTGCTCATCTGCTGCATTTGAAATAATTATTGCTAGAAAAACAATGGAACATCCATAAGGGTTGCTGGCTAATCACCGGAGGAGGTGGTCCTCATTTGTCTGAGGCCGAGTGGTCATTTTAGGAGTCCACTGGAGACAAGAACCCTCCCAAAGGTGGGTGGAATTGGGGTAGGTGGGAGGAAGTTGCCATAGTGAGATCACAGCCTCTGGGAGATGCTGGTTTTCCTGGCCAAGATCATGGAAAAAATATCAAGACTTGGATGACAACTTCGAGTGACTTTGCTATTATGCAAAGAGTGAGGCAGGGGTCAGGGAAACAACAAGCACAGGGTAGAACCTGTCACAGGAATAAAGGTGCATTCCAAGGATCCAAAGAAGAGTCTTAGCCTTGAGAGGAAAAACTCAGCAAGTGGTATGAGAAATGGAGAACCGCTAGGTGAAGGCCAACAGGGCAGGAAGCTGGGCAGAACCAGCACGAAGGTGCATCTGGGAACTGGAGGGACAACTGTGACTCTAGCACCAAGTGGGGCTAGGGGAACCTTCTCCTCTGTTGGGAATAACCACCACATCCGTCCCCTCCCCTGACCCCCGGACAAGAGTGGAGGACACTTGGAGTGGACACAAGCAAGGGTACCCGTTTAAATCAACAGCTGAGGCCAGATGCAGAGGCTCATGCCTGCAATCCCAGCATTTTGGGAGCCTGAGGTGGGAGGATCACTTGAGCCCCAAGAGTTGAAGACCAGCCTGGGCAACACAGCAAAACCCCATCTCTACAAACAATTAAAAAAAAAAAAAAACAGCTGGACATGGTGGCATGTGCCTATAGTGGCAGATACTCAGGAGGCTGAGGTGGGAGGATCTGCTTGAGCCCAGGAGGTGAAGGCTACAGAGAGCTGTGATTGCACCACTGCACTCCAGCCTGGGTGACAGAGTAAGACCCTGTCAAAAAAAAAAAAGGAAAAAAAGAAAAGAAAAGAAAAAGAGCTTTATTGGAAGAGAGAGGTGAGGTGGGGGAATAATAGAGATACAGCACCAGCTCCCTGCCTCTAAAATGTGGGCACCTGGGTAACTAGATAGCACAGGAAGTTAGAGCAAATAAAAGCAGCAAACCCTGCGACTGAAGTTTCAGCACATGGATGGCAAATATTTTCAAGTTTAGTGAAAATAGGTAAGAGATCAAAGCCCAAGAATAACCCCTGGAATCATTACAGGATTTGATCCCTCACAAAGGCGTCAGGAAATGTTTTTGGAAGAATGTGATTGTCTTCCTTGATATCAACCCAAAGATGTGGTTATTGTTCAAAATATCCTGATTTTCTTTAAATGTTTTGTTTCTATCTGACCTCTCATTATAAATGAGAAACGTATGAATTATAAACATATACTCATTATAAATGAAGATTGCTTGGTAGTGGACTAATGGATGATTGTTTCTGCTTCTTTAGGATTTTCTAAATTTTTCCCAAGTTTTGTACATTAAGCACAAAATTATAAAAGGAAAATAAAGAAAAGAATTTAAAATAAACATGTAACCAAATTTTAAACAAATAAGCATATCATATTAGAGAGGAATCACCATATTGGGTTAGTCACCCCTCCTACAAATTTTTCTAGAGCTCTAATTAGCTCCCAAGACTTTCATGGGACTTTTAAATTTCTGAACAGGCTGAGGACATAGAACAGTGGAAAGGAGTGGGATTCTAGGCAGTACGACAGATAAGTTACACGTCTTTAGATGAGGCAGTTAAGCTTTCTTTGTCTCAGTTTCCACTATGAAAAGTACATAGGCCAGGCATGGTAGCTCACGCCTCTAATCCCAGCACTTTAGGAGGCCAAGGCGGGTGGATCATTTGAGGTCAAGAGTTTGAGACAAGCCTGGGCAACATGGTGAAACCTCATCTCTACAAAAAATACAAAAAAATTAGCTGGGCATGGTGGCGTGCACCTGTAACCCCAGCTACTTGCGAGGCTGAGGTGGAAGGCTTCCTTGAGTCCAGGAGGCAGAGGCTGCAATGAAGCAAGATAGAGCCACTGCACTCCAGCCTGGGCAACAGAGTCAGACCTTGTCTCAAAAAAAGAAAAGTAGATAGACTATTACCTGCCATAATTACCAACTACGGTTGTTTGCCAAATAAAACAAGTGATTTGAAAGGGACTTCAGGAATATAGGCAAAATATAAATAATTATTAAAACCATGGGTGACTGAAGTTTAGCGGGTTTGCTTTTGAAATCTCGGGAAGTACCATGGAATGTAATGATTTCTTCTGTCAGCTTTCTTAGTTGGAGGCAATAGAATTCACTCTAACTAGTTCAAGCAGAAAGGTACTTGTTATATGGTATTAGGAAGCTTATAACATTTTGGGAGGCTCA